CAGGAGTGACCAGGAATAATGGTCACAAGCTGGCAGAAGGTAGGTTTAGGTTAGACATCAGTAGGCGCTATTTCACTGTCAGGATGGCTAGGGTCTGGAACCAACTTCCAAGAGAGGTGGTGCAGGCTCCTATCCTGGGGGTTTTTAAGAGGAGTTTAGATGTACACCTTGCTGGGGTCTTTTGACCCCAGTACTCTTTCCTGCCATGGCAGGGGGTCGGACTAGATGATCTGCTCAGGTCCCTTCCGACCCTAGAAACTATGAAACTATGAAACATCACTATGAATGGATAGAGTCACAGCAAGTGGTCCAACACATCACTACAAAAAATGGAGTCCAGAGTCACTCCTATTTTTTTAAACATAGTTGGAGTGCAATCTGGAAGCCTGTTGTAGGTGCCTCAGCACCATATACAGTGCATGGGGAAAATCAGCTGTCCTAGGCAGGCACGTCTTCTGTCCCTCTATTGATGTCTTCTTCAAGACTTCAGGGACATGCCTCTTTTCATCTAGGACCCACAGCCAAAATCCCATTACAAAAGGTAAGGGTCCATCTCATCTCTTTCCAAAAATAAGCAAGAGCCAGTCTTCTCCTAAAACTCTGGATGAGGAGACGATGGTGGTACCTCATTTGTATAATAGCCTGGGGACTAGGCTGCAGAAGATCTGAGTTCAACTCCTTTCCCAGCTTGAGGGGATTCAAATCTGTATCTCTCACCTCCCACGAAGGTGCCTTAATCACTATGTAAGTGGCCAAGCTCTGTGGGGAAAGCCTCCAGTGCTCCTGTCAAAAGATATTCTGCGCTGCAGGAAAGAATTCAAGATTCACTTGGAAAGAAAAAGAGGGGTAAAATGAGCAGGAGACTGCAGTACAGTAGTTAGGGGGCTCTTGTGCCAGGGGGGAGTCCTGTATTCTACTATATGTTCCCAGGGCTGCTGGGTTGTGTAGTTTCTTTCCCCCAAATTTCTGAAATTTTCGATCGTCCTTAAGAAGCTATTGATGTGAAGAAATAGCTTCTTTTAAAAACGTGTTCTGCATGTGCATTCTGAATGTAGTAAGTTCTGCTGTACCCGCCATTGATTTGTCTAAGCATTTGTGCTGTCAGCTTTCTCCCGCCCCCACCCCCGGCAAAGACTAAGTGGAGTTGAATCTAAGTCAAACACAGAAAAGGTCAAAAATTTGTTTTCAAACTTTTCTGAAGTGCAATTAGCTTAGTATTTTAACAGCTGGCAGCTGCAGTAATTACTTTTAGATTATACATGAAATCTGTTGAAATATAATTACTCTGATCTATGAACCAGGTAATTAAGGTAAAAACTCCCACATTTTCTTAGACCTCATTAACTTATTTCCTTTGAAAATTGTTGGCTAATGACAGTACATTATGAGTTTATCCATAAAATGACACTGAGTAATTGAAACCTTTGTCCTGAGACATTGAAGGAAAGCATAGCATTTAACTACTTGATGTCTTGATAATTATTTCTTAATTTCTAGTACAGATATCAGTAGATGACACCCAAATCTGGGGAGCATTTATCAGCTAAGTGGTACAAAAGAAGGCAGAGTTTTCCTTACACCCTTTCTTTCACATGGCATTGTTTGAAATTCAGAAATGGTTCCTCTGTAGTGCTGAGTGCCCCTCAGCACCCTAAGTATCAAATCCAAATTTTAGGACCTGCTGAGCATTTGCAACAATCTTTAGATTTGGTGCTGATGCTGAGCAACTGTAAGGACTGAGCTCAAGGAGAATAGAGGACATCTTGCAGGTATAAGGCAGCATTTGTTGTGTGCTTCCAAGAGCAATCTTTGCACTTCATGATTCTCAGCTACTCTGGGCCTTCCAGTGGTGTAACTGGGTGGGGAAGGGGGTGGGGAGATAGGGGCAATCAGACCCCAGTCAACTTGTTGGGGGGAGAGGGTGGGGAGGCAAATAAAAGTGGCTGCTGCTGTGAGTTTGCCTTTGCAATCACAGCAGCAATCAGAGGTTACTGCTTCCACTTTGGCATGGGTGCCTGACCATGTCCCTACATTGCTGGGGCCCTTGGTATAATTTAGGCAGCCCTGGTGACCTACTTACACTAGCTTCCTATGCGCAATTATATGGGAAAAATTCTTGCCTGCAGTTCATATAGCACTGAGTGTTGTGGCCCAACCTCCAGCTTAGATCCCAGCACACCATATAAAGTTGTACCTTTGCTTGCTAGCAACCTGTCTGTCTTTCACAGTGCTGTATTGAAGAATTCCTCACTTAACTGCAACTTAGGGTGCTAGAGCTCCTTTTCACCACACCACCACTTTTACAGAGCATGAGAAACCTTCAGCTGAAGTGAGGAGTTCCTTTCATGGAAAATATTTTTATCTTTGTATGTGTAAGTCAGGAATACTATCGTTCAGGGAGTCCTGGAGTCAGAGAATTACAAGGCAAGATGTGTCTTCTAAGTGTTACATTGGTTTAAAAAAGAAGACCCATACACTCCACATATTTCATATTCCAAGCAGTGATGAGTGGAGAAGGCTGTATTTGGATCTGGGTAACATTTGGATTTTAAATAACCAAACTTCCAACTTGAGTGTGACAAAGGGTTGCAAGCTATTGCCATAAAATGATGGCAGTCTTATAACAGAACTGCTTTCCATCATCTCAAACCAAAAGGCTGGTAAGGATCCTGCAGTCTTGCAGTCCCACGCAAGAGTCCACTGGACCATGCTCCCGGCCAGACTGATACCAGGTAATATTTGCTTTACCATCCTTTCTGTGACTTGCATCAGAGCCAGTTGGATTAAAATCATGACACTCCCTTGACTGGATGTGTATGTGTTTGTGTGGATATTCTAGATCACTGCATTCCTTAGGATGCCTGATCTGGCTCCCTCATCACTGGTTTAATCCATTTGGAAGTCGTGCTGCCTCTCTGAAGGCACTTTTGCGTGCCTCAAGTCCCCTTCCAAGCACACATTCTGTTGCCAAGTTAATGTCATGAATTTATTTGTATAACAACATATTCTGGACACTGTACACACACATAAAAATATGCATCTTTGCTTCAAAAAGCTTAATCTAATTTAAGACAAGATGCAGCAAGTGGGTGTGATGAACAGGAAGTGACAGACAGCACTTGGGAGAAGGGAAGAAGAGGTTGAATCACATGGTTAGATAGAGAAGCTATTTGCACAGCTGGATGGGTATGAGTTAATGTTTTCTTTCCATAAGTAAAATACATTAAGCCCCTGTTGGTTATCAAGAAACAGCTGAGTTGTGCCAGTTGAATAATGTCAGTGGGACTTGATGGGGTTCAGCACAGTCAGGATTTGGCTTGGTGTTATGGAGCGAGGCATTTCTATGATGTAAAGCAGTATACAAGGGACCTACCGGCACCAAAGTATTTAAATTGGAAAAGCTGAAATTTTCAAACCTAATTGAAGCTGGCTTGGAAAATATAGCATCTGCTGTCACAGCTGAATGTTAAGCCAATACACTGTATTTTTGATCACAGATTCAAAGAATGGTCCTGGTTCATTGCCCTTTTGACCATCAGAGACCAGACAAATGACATATATGGCAAGACCACTGAATGCAGAAGCAAGAGTCACCATTAGACTTCAACTGGCTTTTATTGCATTTTTTCTTCATTATGCATTCATTTATAAGACAAATTCACTGCATCTTCATTTCTGTTTTCTTTAAGGAATTTTAATCATGAGAAAATGAGCTAAATGAATAGGAGCAATTAGGAAAATTAGGAATAATGATATTGATTCATGGCACACATGTAGCTACTCAGGAAATCCTGTGTTAAGAAGTGAACTTGACCAGATCACCTAAATGATGAAATCCATCAGGCTCATGTTGGAACTGTGCTTTGTCAAGAAACCAGGTGCAGACAGAACAGCTCAGCACGAACCTTTATATATTCCCACTGCATCAGGTGTCACGTTCCCACTTGAAATCAAAAGTCGAATAAGACTTCGGCCTGCTGCTCTCCCTTCTTCAGTGGACATAGCCATTCTCCAGAATGCTAGGAAGGCTCCTCCTTGGAAAGAAACAACAAGCAATACTGTTCAATCAACTCAATTAAAACAGTCTGTTCCAAATTTCAGTACATTAGGGGCAAAAAGACCATCTCCGCTGAACCCTAGTTATAATGTTTACTCTAAGCCATTGGGGTCCGGGGATGGGGTACTCACTCAGACCTTCATGCCTTTTGTGTTCTGTCCTTGAGTCAGCATTCAGTAGAGACCAGTGGGGTGATAAGCAGATTTATCTTTATTGGGAAACACGTTTCAGGACCACATGCACTTGCACCTTGCAGGGAAAACAACCCCACTAACCAAAGCGCACCCACAGGGCATCAGGGCGAAAGACTGCACCATACCACTGCTGGCCCCTTAAACGTACGTTCTATATACCATATCACCCTTCTTAGCTCTGGGAGCTTCCTCTTAAATAGTTGGATGTTCATCAGTAGCTACTTTAACTCAGAATGTTTCAGGATCGTGGAGCCAGAGGTTGCTAGTACTTTACTCATTGATGGGGTCTAGCCTTTACTGCTATCCCATTACATAGTCCTTGTACTTCACAGACAATCTCACCACACGTCCACTCTTAGTTTGCGTTGTGTCATTAGCTGTCTCTGTGGGTACTGGTGGATACTTGGAAACATAACGAAACTCTTGCTCTTGGTGGTCTGGTTTTACTTCTGATGTTTGTTCTGCTGCCATCTCTCGAGGTGCATCAACATGTTCTGTTGGTACCAATGAGTAATATTTTCTTAAGTGTCTTCTGTTCCTCCTGTAGACATTACTGGAGTGGGGTTTACCACATAGGAATGCAGTTCATCCCTTTTTGCCATAATGGATGCTGGTATCTAACCTGTACTTGTTTGCATCCTTACTTTCTTCCCCTCTCATAGAGGTGGCAAGAACGTAGCTGTGCAGTCATAGTGCTTTTTTTTGGCACCTTTCAAGTTGCTGCATTTTGTGGGAGGCATTCAATGGTAATCTGGGAGTCAGCACTGCTGTTGTAGCAGGGTGGGTACTGTGCAAAAGTCTCCCCATCAGAAGCTGCGCTGGAGCATACTTAAGACCCGTAATGGGCATGTTCCAGCATTGGGCAAAGCCAGATATAGATCAGAGCCATCCTGCAAAGTCGTCTTAAACATAGTTTTGATGGTCTGAACCATGCGTTCAGCCTGACCATTGCATTGTGGACAACTTGGGGTAGAATGGGTGATAGTTATGCCCCAATCAGTCGAAAAATGTTTCATCATGAAACTTGCAAATGGCATGTGATCACAAACAATTTCTTTAGGTATGTCATGGTGAGCAAATACAGACTTCGTTTTGGCTGTTACCATGCTGGCTGTCTTGTTGGGCAGGTGCAAAACATCTGGATACTTGGAGTAATAGTTGTCTGTTATCAAATAAGGGTAAAAAATGTCTGTCACCAGTTTTAGCCAAGGCAGGTCTGGCAGCATGTGAGATCATGGGCTCTTTCTGAGTACTGGGTTGGAACTCTTGACAAGGCATGCAATTTATAATCCATTCCTCGATGTAGGCATTCATCTTAGGCTAATACATGATTTGACAAGCTCATGCTTCTGAACTTGTATGCCTTGATAGGACAAGTGAAACAATGTCAACATGTTGGTCTCACCCCATGTGGAATGATTATTTTTGGCCCAATATTGAGCAAATCATCCTGAATCTGGATTTGGTCTCTGAGAGGCCAGTAAGGCTTTAGTTTAGGTTTAACTTTTTTTTGCCTGTTCGGCCATCTATTAAGCTGCTGGGCTTTAAGGGCTTGTAGTTCCCTGTCAGCCTTCATGTGCTCCTATAACTGCTGAAATAACTGGCCACTGAGTGGCTCCGTTTCAGTCAGATTATGAACTACCTTTTCTGAGTGGACAAGATCAGGTTCAGGGGGAGGAGCAAGTATTGTGGCTCTCGAAAGTGTGTCAGTCTTTGGTATAAAGAATCTGGATGTCATATTTTTGGAGCTGCAACAACATCCTCTGTAGCCGTGCTGGAGCCTTTCCTATAGGCTTCACAAAAATCACTTCCAGGGGTTTGTGCTCTGACTGGACCCATACCAGGGCGCCATACACATATTGGTAGAACTTCGCCATGGCGAAGACAATATCCAGAAGTTCAAGTTCTTTCTCAATCTGAACTTAATTTCTCTCAGATCATGTTAGAGCCCTCAAAGCATATGCAATTGGCTGCTTCTACTGAAACAGACATGCTCCTAGGCTATCTTTGGACACATTGGCTTGGATTTCCAGCTGCTTTGCTGGGTTAAAGTACCTGAGCACAGGTGCCACTGTGATGGTTTGCTTGAGCTTCTCCAGGGCTTCCTGATGCTCAGGTCCCCTTTGCCAGATAACGTCGTTCCTGAGAAGTGCTCTCAGCGGGGCCGTCAGGCTGGACTTGTGGAATGTGTTGTGCCAAGTACTGAATGGTTCTGAGGAGTCTCTGAAGGCCTTTTTTGTCTGTTAGAGGGGGCATCCTGTTGATGGCTTCCATTTTGTCATCGTCTGGTTTGACACCAGCTTGTGAGAAGATATGGCTCATATACCCAATGCTGTTGACTAAAAACTGTATTTTGTCCTTATTAAACTTTATTCCTTTTGGACGTGCTCTCTCCAGGACTTGTTTCAGGATAGTGTCATGCTCCTCTTTGGTAGCCGCTGCAATGAGCATATCATCTGTGATTATGTGGATTCCTGGAATGTCACCGAAGCACTCGTGATTCTTCTGTTGGAATGTTTCACTAGCTGACTTAATACCAAAGGGAAGGTGATTGAAGTGGTACCACCCCCGTGGTTAAAGGTGCATAGCGCTGCCAATTCCTCATCCAATTTGACTTGCCGGTAGTCATCCTTTTCATCAAGAATAGTGAACAGCTTTTCACTTGACAAGCTCTTCTGCACATCCTCTATGCTGGGAATAAAGAAGTGCTGCCTCAACACTGCCTTGTTGAGGTCTCATGGATCTAGAAAAAGTCGTAGCCATCATTCTTTTGTGTGATTACATGGCTACTGACCCAGGGTGTGAGCTTAGTCATCTTCATAATGACTCGAATAGCTTCCAGCGTTTTGAGGGCAGTCTTCAATTTGATGAGGGTTGCATAGGGAATTTTTCTACACTCATGCATCACTGGTAGTACTGCCAGATCAACATAGATGTGGTGAGTACTGGGAAATAGGCACTACGCTTTGAAAATATCTGGGTATAGTTTGAGAAGGTTTGCCTTATTGTTAGGGTCATTCCATGGACTCTTCTGATGAGAGCTAAGGTGGTGCATGCCACCCTACCAAGTATTGGTGGGTCACTATCGTCAGTTATGTAAAAAGTTGAATCAGATTCATTAGCACCAGATTTGCAGTGTGCAATGATTGCATCTTTTGGTTGGATGTGTGCACTGCCAAATTAAATCAATATAACATGAGCTTAAGTCTTGTGTACTTTGCCTTGCAGAGCCTTTACTACATTTACTGGAATAGTGTTTGCTTCCACTCCAGTATCTAACTTAAAATAAACTGGCAAATTAGCAATCATAACTGTGCTATACCAGGCACCCAGGTTATCAAAGGTCTGTGAGTGCTGCTTTACTGACATTGTGCCCATTAGTTCTATGTGAAACTTTGGTTCCTGATTTGATTTGGTGGAGATTTGGCCTGATTCAGTGGCCAAATCTCTGAATCCAAACTGAATCAGAGGGCTCTTTAATTTATCTGAATTGAATAAGAACCCTCTGAATTGATTTGGAGAGATTGAGAAAGATTCGGAGACTCGGACATAGACACAGCTTTATATGTTTTTTCTACAGACCTCTAGGTAGCAGGTGACTCATGAATGCTGCGATGCTGGGGTGCATGGAGTGTCCCACAGAAGTGCGGGGGGCTCCCCAGCATGCTTGGCAGCAGACCCAGAAGTGGACTAGAAGCAACTTCTGGTCCACTTCCAAGTCTGCTGGACAGCACGCTTGGGCGCCTCCCTGCGCCTCTCCAGCTTGGCAACTGGAAGTATTTCCAGTCCACTTCAGGGTTTGCTGCCGAGCATGTAGATGCCCCCCCCCACCCTCGGTCCTGTGGAGCACTCCATCTGCCCCAGCATTGCAGGGTTCACAAGCTGTGCCTGCTACTTCAAGGTATGTAGAAAAAAACATTTAAAGCTGCGTCTATGTCCGAATCACTGATTCTCCAAATCAGCATTGAATCTTCAGATTCAGCTGAATCGAATCAGGGACAGTGATCTGAATCAATTAATTGAATCACTGTTCCTGATTTGGGCCAAATCTGAATCAAATAGGGCCTGCTTCACACACCCTTAGTGCCCAAATGTAGGGTACTGACTCCGTTTTCAGACTTTGGAGCCTCTCCCTTTGATTTGTACGTTTTTGCAAAATGGTTCACACCAGAGCATTTGTAACAAGTTTCCCTGAAAGTTGGGCAGGATCTAGGCTTGTATGTGCTTCCACACCTTTTAAAACTTTGCCTTTTGCAGTTTGATGACCCTCCTGTGAAGTAAACTTCACTGGGGGCTTGTTTTGCTTTTGCAAAATGCAATGGCAGTTTTGCTTTTGCTAAACTGCTTGTAGGTTTGCTTCTGCAGGCTGGGCGCTTGTGAGAGCCTTTGCCCTGCAGATATCCACAGCCTGTGCTAGGATGAGGGAGAGGTTTTCCAGGAGCCTTTCCTTGAGTTTGCTATCAGTTATGCTGAAGAGACAATTTTGTCCCTCAACATAACATCCTCAGCAGATCCAAATTCACAATGCTGTGCTCTATTTCTGAGCTCTGTAACAAAATCATCTATGCCTGCAGTCTCATTGTATCTAAGTTGCCAGAATTGATACCCTTCAAAGTCAGGGTTTGTCCTGGGTTCGCAGTAGTTCTTGAATGCTGCTAGCACCTCCTGTAAGGGTTTTGTTGTTAGGGTCTGCAAATACCCCTTGCATGTTGTAAATTTCTAGGGCTTTATTCCCAATGCAGTGAAGCATGCCTGCAATTTTTTAATCCTCTGCCTCTTCCTTGGCCTTTGTGACTGCAAGGTATATTCGAAGCTTCTGTTTCCATCTGCTCCAATTCTCCCCAAGATTTGCAGTAAAGGACAATGCTGATGGAGGTTTGAAATGCTCCGTTATTTATGTATTTGTTTTAGTTGCTGGTGAAAGCTGTAACCTCCTTAATCAGGCTGCTGGTGACTCCACCGAGAGACAGGTCACTTATGACACTGTCTAATGTTTACTTTAAGCCATTGGGGTCTGGGGATGGGGTACTCACTCAGACCTCCATGCCTTTGGGGTTCTGTCCTTGAGTCAGCAGTCAGCAGAGACCAGCTGTATCTTTATTGGGAAACAGGATTCAGGAACACACACGCTCACAGCTTGCAGGGAGAACACCACCAGCCAAACTGCACCCACAGGGCATCACAGGGAAAGACTGGACCTCCCACTGCTGGAAAGAACATTCCATATACCACACTAGTGCTATACTATGATATGCAGGATATATGAAAATCAGAAGTTTAATGCCAGGTAATAATCACTTATAACCGTGTAGGGAGAGACAGACCATTCTTTCAAATCAGTCCACTGTGTCTTGGCTTACGAGCAGACCCACAATCTCAAAAGGCATCTCGTCAGCAACAGACTTCCTAAATCCTATTCTCACCAAGCCACCAGGCCTCGCTACAGACCTAGATGCCAGCTGTGCCCCTATATCAACACAGATGACATCATCACTGGACCAGACAACAGGAACGATGATACTTGGAGTTTATTCATCACCTGGTCCTCTACCAACAACATATATCATCACCAACTTACAGTGCCTTTCTGGTGTTTACACTGGACAATTGGGAGACCTATATGTGAAGGAATGAACAGACACTGATCTGATATTGCTTTCAGAAAGAAACACAAGTTTATGATAGAACAACTTAACATCCCTGGAACTCAAAGTAGCTGTTCTTAAACAACAAATCTTTAAAACCAAATCAAACACAAGATTGTGGAACAAATTCACCCATAGATTGTGTAAAGTATGGTCTAAACAGACACTCTGGATTCTTTTATAGCCTTTATGTTCCTCAGTGGATTATAGCCTTTGTTTATTTCTTTTGATCTCTTGATCCCAGCCATGCCTCTCTTACCAGTGCCCACTGCCCTATCCTTTCTTCCCCCTTTCCCTATTGTTTGTTTTTAAATTATTTTATTCGTTTCTATTTAGTACTCTTGCTCTCTGCAAGACCATTCATAGCATCTGACTAAGTAGGCTAATGGCTCTGCCTTTCAGAACAAGTTAGTTTCTAAGGTGCCACCTTGCCACATTTTCTTCCTTCCTTGCTTAAGACAATAGTCTGTAGTTATGATAACAAGGTGTACATCTTTGACTTACTAAAGCTTTAGGCCAAAAACCAGGACAAACTATATGTATAGTCTATAGGGCCATAGGTATGACCAGGTTTGGAAACCATGCATATTGGAATTGATCAGAACCTAACACAGATAGCCAATAGGTCTATAAGTATAGTTCCTGGCTAGTTAGAAAGTGGGAAATGGAGGACAGAAGTGAGTAGTCAAAACTAGAAGGCAATCAGGACTGATTTATTGCTTAGCATGTCTGGTTTTATTGCCTATCTGTGTAAAGTTTTTTGTATTTTGTTTCAAGTCTCTACAACTTCCACATAACAAAAACATATTTTGTAAAAGACATTTATGTGAAGCTGTACAAACATGGAGTTATATACATTTTCTTTCTCCAGAGCTTACATTTCAATGGCCCAGTTCTGTGAGGTGCTGAAAACCTTCAAGTATCATTAAAGTTATCAGGTGTGCAGAAGACTTGGCACCTCACAAGAATCATTCACCAGCTTGTAGCATCAAGCTACAAAGATGAACCAACACAAGTTAAAAGTTCATTTAAAGCTGACTGCTAACCCCCTGCTTCCCTTCCCATGGCCATGATGAACCAAGTCTCAGTCAACTCCAGACTTACCATTTAAGGGCCTTGTTACATGGTTATTTGGGGAGGCTTTTGGAGATATTAACACCTGAACTGTCTTCACATTAACACCTTAAAGTGGTTTTAAGACCTGATTTTATGGCTCAAAGTTGTGCCACTTCAGAGCAGGATTATCTCTGAGCCGCACTACACAGCTCCTGTTCCATTAAGATGTGGCCACTCCCTCAGATGTGTTGCTCAAGTTGAAGTCCTCCATTATCCCAGGATCTCTTACACTGCTGCCCGTAGAGCTAGGATGGAAGCCTGTCCTGGCTAACCAGCCCTCTAGTGGCAACTCCTAGTCCTGCCCCCGCTTGCCAGGCCTCTAGTCTAGTAGCAAGTCACAGCTGTGCAGGTTGGGGACAGTCAGAGTAGGTTTCTAGATTAAGGGTGTGACTGCTTTAAACTCCAAACTAGCACTAACACCCATCAATATTTCTGCAGCTCACAGCATAAGGTGTAATAAGACCCTAAAACTCATTGTCTCACTTTCCTGAGAATGCAGCTTTTCAGGCCCCAATCCCTGCAGTGGCTCTAGTCCCAAATCATACGCAACTTTAAATTCTAATCCTGACACACAAAGCAATCACTGGGCAAAACAGCTTGGCATCTCTCCCTCAGCTGTGTACATAATGCCTTTTTCAGGAAGAGATCAGACAGATTAGGTCTTATCAGCTTCCCAACTAGATGCAAGAGCCATTACTTGACAATAAGGCTGTCTTTTAGATGTAATACTGTACCTTGCCAAGTACATGTTGACAGTGTTGTACAAAGAATGGTAATCAAATACATTCTTGCTGACTTCGTATGTGCTAAGATTCCATGGAGATTGGAAACCTAAAGCACAGCTCTCCTGTGGGTAATCTGTCTTGAATGTGTTGCCAGTGTCCTTTGAATACAAATCCTTTCAATACAAATTCAGTTGCCTTTGTGAGAAGCCCCTTCCACCTCGAATATGTAGATTTCCACCTAGAGGTTCTGTATCTGAAAATAGTTTCAAAATGACCCAAGGAACTACTAAGTTCACAAAAATAATACTACGTCCCAGGAACACATTTGACATAATAATCTGTATTGCTGGATATAAATAATGAATGGCCAAAAATGCCATTCCAACTTCTAAGACATCTTTATTTTACAATACAGCATCACCTCAAGAGTGAATTTATCTAAGTAAGGGGATTTTCAGCATAATTTATAGACGGAAAAACTTTAACCTAATTTAGAGACTACAGTCTTGGATAATGGATTTTGCACATAGTAATATATTTCTCTTCAAGATTCAAACATATTTTTCTCTAAGAAAAATATATTTGAGAAGTGAACTGCTATTGTTACAGGAGATTAGAGTTCTACTTATCTCCACAAGGTGGTGCTATAAAACTAATTTTGTAGCCTTTCATCTTGTTTCAAATTTAACTGGACACAACAGGAAGTTGTTTTGTAAAGAAAGTACCTTTGATAATAGAAGAAAAATACCACATATGTGTTGCCTACCTGTAAATTCATTTGTTTTATGAAGAACACACAATGAAAGCAAGACTTTGTTCTGCTCTGGACTGAAATCACCAATGAATGGGATTGCATCTCCTTCAACAAGTAGTCTTGGTGGTAAGAATGCCTGGTATTCACTTGTATTCTGTAAATCTGTAGGAAAATGTGTAGCTGCAATGAATTCCACACCATTTGCCCAATTTTTCCCGAAATTTGACTCGGGGCCCGAGAGATATTTTAATCTGAAAGAAATAAAAATTTGAACATAACAGATAAATTTAAGCCCAAGAACTCATTAGTTTACCATTTATACTGAATTTGATCTAATACAGTGTAAAATATTTTTGATCAAATCTTGATGGGTGCTGAGATTCTCATCTCCATCAACTTCAAGGGAACTGAGGCTACAAATGGTACCAGCTCAACATTATTTCTGCTAAACAAAGAGCAATAAAGTAGTCAACTGTATCCAATTACTATTCACTATGAACTACAGAAATAGCACTGGGAGGAAGAGGTAGAACTCAGAGCCCTCTTAAGAGGATAGTGCCTTGCTATATGAGGCACAGAATTGTACTGCTTAATTCATGTTCTTCTGACCCCAGGACTCTTTCACTTTTGGCTGCCCAGCAGATTCACTTTGACTAGGGCAGAGGCTGATTTCAAACCAGACTACTACACGGTCATACTCTTTGTCAGCAGCTGTTCTAATCACTAGGCTCTTGGACTGAAGGCAGGTGGGCCGCCTTCTTCTGAATAAAGTAGATTTCTGTAAAATGTGAGTATGTAAGGATTCCTGAACGAAAGAACAGGAGAGAACCCTATACTTTTTAGGACCAGCTAGGATTGGTAACAGCTACTGATATCAGAATAAGAGAGCCATGCTTCTCCCAGGGTGAATTAGGACTAGACACACATTTCTTAGGACAGTTGATGGAGAAACTTAGAGGTGAAATAGCATTTAGGCCACAGAGTCAACCAAACATCAGAAAGAAGCATGGAGACAGATTCCCAGAGCTGTACAAGGCAGCTGGGTTACATCAACTAGTCAAGTGGGAAAGGACTGTTTTTAGAAAATTTGTAAAGAAGAGGGTGCTAAAAGAAAGTCTTACTATCAGCGGATAAGACCATATGGCACAAGTCAGCACCATGCAGTTACCTCAGCTGGTTCTGCACACACTGGCTAGGGACAGACATTACACATAAACTGGTTTAAGTGATCAGAAACTGGTTTAAACCTGTGACAGAACAGCTGTTCAGTGCACATAAACCAGTTTAAAAATGGCTGAAACCAGTTTGAGATAAACCTGGCTGAATGTAGTATCAGAGTTAAATGATCTGGGTCAAACTGGTTTATGCAATGTCTGTCCCAGACCTCTTGCTAGTTTAAGATAAACCTGACAACCCCAGCATCACAGCATGCTCTCTAGGCTGGGTGGGGCTCTCTGCTCTACAGCAGGGCTGGCTCCTCCCCTCTGCTCCTTGGCCAGAGCTCCAGCAGAGACTTGCAGACAGAGAGCATCTGCCTGGCTTCTCCCTGCTAAGTAGCGATTATTCCCCTCTCCCCTCTGCCTTACGCAGATACCTCAGCATTAGCTAGCATACCACATGCTGGCTACGGTCCGTGCTATGGGAGACGACAGGCAGACAGACTTTTTTGAGCTAATCAGCAGGTAGCTTAATGTCCTTCCTTGGAAGAGCTGTTTAAGAAGAGCTCCATTAGTCAATGGAGAAAGGCTTTGCTTTCTTAATGGGTTGATAAACACTGAGTTAGGGGTGATAAACATTCCTTTCTGGGCAGCTTGGGGGGGTGGGGAGGAATAATCAGAGCATCCTGCTGGGGCCTGGCCCCTCAGGTCAGTGCCGTGGAAGGGAAGGGAGGGCTACTCTAGCACCCCCAGGCTTCTACCCTGAGCCACTGCAGGCATGTCCCTGCATATATATGTCCAGTTATAAAACTAATTTAGCCTAGCCAGATTAGACTAATCTGCAAAGATTGAATCAATTCAGTTTCAGGCTTTTTGAATGTCTGTCCTTAGCCACTAGCTCCAGAACCATAAGCAGCATAGCCATGTTAGTGCAGTGCTGAGCCCAGGCTAATCAGTCCTGTTTCTACTGCAACTACCTACTGCAACTCAGGGTGCTAACAGATGTACAGGCCCCTGCTCTAACTTATGGTGCTTTATATAAAGTGCCATGAGCTAGAGCCCCTCCTGACCCAACAGATGTATGCCTGTTGGGTTGGGGAGGGTGGGATTGAGACTTCCTGTAGAAGCCTGCCATCCCTCTCCCCAAATCCCACCTTTCCTTCCAGCTCCCATCCTGTCTGCAGGAAAGGAGGATGGAGAGGGAAGGAGAACTGAGCTGTGAGCTGGAGTTTGCCCAGTCTGACCCTTAGGGGGTGGACTGAAGGGGGGCCATGAGGTGGGGGCTCCAATCTATCTTCCTCTGACTCCAGCTCAGGCCAGGCACACCCCAGTCTGCAACTTTCTTCCTTTAGACAGTACTGGGGGTGAGGCTGCGCTGCATCAGCCCAGACCAGATTGCACGATAGATTAACTCTAGGAAGCACAAGTTCTCTAAGGTGCTTCAAAGTGGAGCACCTTCATCTGATACGTCATTTAATGTGGGTTAATTTTTTGCATGATTGGCCACTTTAAAAGCACTCTGTAGCCATGCAAATCTGTCATGGCATGGATGTAGAGTAATTTCAGGGGGCCAATCATCAGAAAAATGTAATTTCTGTCTGTGCCCTCAAAGCCTCCCTGCCCCTCACTTCCTTCAACATTACTAGTTTAGGGCTAAATTTGATAAAGAACTTATGCATTTGCTAGCTAAGCATCACAATACTTCACTTTTAAGTTCCAGGTGGAGTTGAGAACTCTAAGGCTCCCTAAACAGTGTATGGGCAGAGGCAGATACTTCAGAGTGGGATATAAGTTAGATGATGGAGGAGGGAGCTATCTAGGGCTAGCCTATAGGGATGGTTAAGTACATCCTTTCCTCTCCAAATCTTAGGCATCTAAATCTGTGCTCCATGCAGGACCCCATGCACTCCTGAGCCAGAGCACACTTACCTACAGTTCCTTCAAGGGGACTGAGCAGATATCACTAATATTTTTTACATGCAGCTGGAGAAAGCTGGAGAAAGTGAAGTATAGTATAGTTTAGTATAGTAGCACAATAGTTAGAGTACCCACTTATAAAGTGTGTGTGGGGGGTGCAGTTCTTCCTCAATATGATGGGTTCAGATCCATGCCTCCCATCCCACAACGTAGTGTTTGAGTCACAAGACAGTTGCAGGTAAAGGCACATACCTCCTATCATGTGCAGATTTATGCAGTTAAAAGGAGAGAACCCAGGAAGGGGGCCTGTCTCTGTGGCCTATCAGTTGGGATATTCACTTTGGGGAAAGGCAGGTCAAACAGCTCTGGGTCCCAGTTTCCCCTTCCAAGACTATTTCTGATTGTTATCCAATGGTGGTTTAGTATAGAATATGTAAGCATTCTTAGGAACATGAGCCAATACCCAAGACATTTGTTTCATATGTGGCATCCAAATCGTTAGGCTATTATATAAAAGGTGTGTGGCAATATCACTGTCATTTCTTAATCAGCCTACCATACAGACCTAAACTTGTGGTTATGTCTTATGCCTGCCCTGAGCATGTTTTGGACAATGTTACTATGTTTTGGACTGCAGTTTTGGGTTTATGGTAAGTGCTACCTGTATCTTACTTGAAGTGTTTAAGCCTTTATTTAGATGTAGTCATTAGCACTCAGTTGAAATTAAGTAGCAGTGCCATGCTGGGGCCTTTTAAGCTCTCATGTCCAATTTGCTATATACCCAAGGAAACTTTAAAGAGAAGTGACTCTTGGGCTCAGGAGTGAAAATTCTAATTAAAACAGATAATTCGCCTCTTTACTAATTACAGCAAATTAGCTATAGAGGAAGGGCAGTGGGTGATTGCTTGATTTACCTCTGAGGTCATAGTAGTCTCATTTAAAGAATATTTGAATCTGCCTAGGTGGGAAATACTTAACAATTAAGTTAGCACCTTAACCCTGGAATAATGGCCACCTCTAGGATACGTTTGCACTCCTCTGCTGATTCATATCAGAGCCAGATGAACTTTATTCTAGAATCATTGTTTTTCTAGAAAAACAGATTTGTAGAAAAAAGGTTCACTTGGCTGAATTTTTCAGGGTTTTGTATCAGCAAAAGGAACTCCACCCTTCTTGCATATGGCCGGTATTCACCCTTGTGAAATCTGTGAGAAAAAAATGTGTTAAATGCTGTTAAGGCTTCATGAAAAAACAATGATGGGTTTATATTGGGAAAGAGCAACCACTGTAAATGATAAAGAAAGGTACTAAGATCAGTATTGCATAGTACACAGCTGGAGTGGTTCTATATGGAACTATCCTGATACCAAAACATCCCTGGTATGTGCAAAATAATTTGATGAGTGGCTGAACTGGGGGGGATGACTTGGAAATCATAGGTGACAGAAACACTCACCTGGAATATTCAAATGGTAGCATGTAATAAATAACCAATACAGAAGTTCAATGATGTAGAAATAGAGTAATAAGATAATGTAGCAATATAGTAAAATGTTTTATTGCATCTTTCTCATCCTATGTACAATCTTGTACATTTCTGTACCTTGTGTTCTGTTTAGCAATATTATTGCTTATTAGTATATCCTAGCATTATTTGCACAATCAAGTATGCCTACTATATCAGATATCATAGTATATGTAAATGCTTACAATCTTCAGGCAGGCTGAATCTCTCATCTTAAATCCTGGACATAACATTTCCAGGCCTGTTCTTAGAGAAATAAATTGGATACATATGAGGAAATGTGTGAATCAACAGTAAAGAGAAGGGGGCATAAATGAGTGGATGGGCATAACACAGTGTCTAGTGCAGTGGTTCCCAACCTTTTTAGACTCCGGACTGGCAAACTGTGGACCAGAAGTGACCATGGACTGGCAAACTGTGGACCAGCAGACTGGAAGTGAGCAGCATACTGCAGACTGGCACCCAACCCAGTATACTCAGTATAAAAAAGGGTTGGCTGCTGGTTTTCAGTATGCCAGTCACTTCCAGACTTCTGGTCTGGCAGCCAACCCTTTGTGGCCTAGTATCGGGCCACGGCCCAGGGTTTGGGAACCTCTGGTTTAGTGCACGGGGTCATCTGCTCTCAGTATATCATGCTTTTCCAAGATGATGAGTAGGCATCCTCCCCCTAACCAAGATGAAAAGCAAGGAATATAGGCATTGCTGGAGTATGGATTAATACAACCATTGTTCGGTGCATATGCTACTCAGGCTTTGCTGAAGCAAAGTAGGACTCTCTGGGCAATCCATTTGAGTGTGTGTGTGCTTTTACATGTGCTTTTCCTTGGAGGACAATTAGCAGCGGCTTCCTGGGGTTTCAGTGTGGTGATCTGGCGTGTGGAGCCTGGCTGGCAGCCAGAGAATGGCTCTAGCCAGCTAGGCTCCGGTTTCTGACAGTGCATGCTGCCACCATGTGCACTTTTTTCAGGCACAGTATTTTTAACAAGGGATCTCGTAGTGCCAGAAAAATCCTCCGCACTGCAAATTATCAGTACAACAAATACTTACATGTGTGATGTGTGTGGTGCCACAGACAGGTCTGCAGCACCACGTACTGCATGTATATGCTCATCTAGATGCGCCATCTGGGTACACCTACATGTGCACTTTACTGACTACATCTACATTTATATTTTACCTGTTTTTGAATTTTGGAAGTGCATAATCAATGGATGCTACGTGCGCTTTCCACAAGTAATTCAGAGCATCGTCTAATTTTATTGAGGCAGGAGTCCGTCCAGCAGATAACAGGTACTAAACCAAAAGAAAAAAGAAATACTAACATAGAAAATAGATTTTTAAAATGCATTTTTCAAAATTATTATATCTTGAAACCACTGTAAAAACGTATAGTTTGTTAATCACGGAAAATTTCTTTAAAATAGTTAGAATGCAGTGGTTCCTAGTGTTGAAAGCTTGATGATTAATTTGGAAGAAGTCTCTGAAGTCATGGATATCAGGGTATCCATACAATCCAGTTGTAGATACCATAATTATAATCTAATATAAGCTCCTGCACAGTACAGGCTACAGAATTTCACTCAGTGACTTATGTGTCAAGTCTATAACCAAATGCCACACACTGAAATTTGTCACACGTAAAAGCTATTTAATAACACCAGAATAGTTGCATTTATAGATTCATAGATTAGATTAATAGAGTGTAAGGGGCTGGAAGGGATCTTGCAAGATCATCTGGTCCAGCCCCCCCGTACTAGGCAGGAAAGGCAACTTGGGTCAGGTGACCCCAGCAAGGTGACTGTCCAGTCTCCTCCTGAAGATTTCCAGGGTAGGCGATTGCACCACCTCTGGAGGGAGCTTATTCCACAGTCTGGACACCCTGACTGAAGAAGTTTTTCCTAATGTTGAGCCTGACTCAATCTTCCAGGAATTTGTGGCCATTACTCCTGGTTTTCCCCAAGGGTGCCTGGTGAACAGTTGTTCACCGAGCCCTTGATGTATTCCCCTGATATAGTGGTAAGCTCCTACTAAGTCCCCTCAACCTCCTCTTTTTTAGGCTGAAGAGACCCAAGGCTCTCAGTCTTTCCTCGTATGACTTGCCTTGGAAATCTCTGATCATACAGGTAGCTCTTCTCTGCACTCTCTCAAGTTTTTTCATGTCCTTGTTGAAGTGGCACCCAGAATATAATCTAAGGGCAGATCAGTTATTTTTAATAGATGCATTTATTCAAATGGACACATTTTATCATGGTGCCCACTCAGTTTTTTAACATATGTAAAAATATTGCTAGACCTGAGAACAGGCTTTAGACTGAATTCTTCTTTGAGCATTTGCTATACTTAGAGTGGATAATTCAGTTGCAAAGATGGTTTCCAGGAGAAAAAGAATAGAAAAAGCAAGTTAACAATAAACAGATTGGTTTATAACCCCTCCTGCTACAGCAAGTAGAAAATAGTTCCTAAATTAAGTAGTGGAGCATGGATTTGGGTTACGCTGGATCTTTTAAAACCCATCTCCTGTAGATTCCTAAAGTCTTATAGAGCTAAATTGATATTAACCATGGTGGACCTTGTTTTTCTATATATTTTTATTGTAGGCAGGACTTCTGTGTCTTGGCAGTTTGAAAGTTTCCATGCCAGGGATGTTCAACTTCAAAGTCCCTGGGGGAGGAGGGCACATAATACCAATGGGGGCTGCATGCACCATAGGCCGTGCTAGACATGCCACATGGATGCTCCCCTCCCTCCTCCCCACCGCTGCACCATGTAGCTGTATGAGCATGACCTCACCCAAGTTCTCAGAAGAACCAACATTATCAAAGTCACTTGGGTCACAAGCCAAATATAGAGTTATTTTAATGGTAATAAAATAGTGTATAAGCCTTAAAATGCCTGGGCCCAATTCTCTTCCATCGTAGTAACCATTTATTTGATCTAGATTTCTCCTGTTGGACACTGGTACTAGTGTAAAATAATCACACTTTCTGATTATAAAATAAAATAACAGTTTTTTAAAAATATATATATATTTGTGTTCGTTTATAACCAAATATGAAAATAATTGTTTACCTCAAAATAGGCCTTCCATTCATCCATGAGTTTTGGAATTTGGGAATGGCAGTCAGAAACACTGTAGCAGAAATCCTCTTTTTGCTCTTCTGGTGGTAATATTTCTACTGGATATTTTAGTTGCCCAAAAAAGCCAGCTTCCAAAGCACCCAGAAACGGTATGATAGCCAGGTAGTAATTCATACCTACAGTATATTTTTAAAAAGAAAGAGATGACAGTGGGCACATCTACATGAGACGTTTACTGCACAGTTGACTAATTAACTGCGCTATAAACCTCTCACTGTCTACATGTGCACCCCTATTAGGGTGCACAAAAATAATAAACTCAGTAGAGTAGTACTTGTAAATGCAAGTACAGTAGGATAGTAGTAGGGTGAATACAAGCACTGGCCTGTTGTGGAGTTTCTCTGTGCCCAGCAGCACATGTGTAGATGCTGACTGGGGCATAAATGCTTCAGTGCAGGGGCTGCCTGCCAGTTAGACCTGCACTGAACCACCTTTGTACCCCAGCCAGTCCCTCTGCAGCACATTGAGATCAGTCAGAGCAGCCCCAGGCTGTTGTGACCTGGCTTAATGTGCTGTGGTCTGGGGGCATGTACAGACACACATCTGGGAGCTTCCTAGGAGCAATAAACTGTGGAGCAATTGCTGCCCCCTAAAGGCACATGCAGATACATCTGGTTGCAGGTAACTGAAGCATGCGTATCAGGGACAGCAGACGTACTAAAATTGGCATCTGAGTTAAAAATTGGCAACTGTCTAAAAACTAAGGGCTTATTTACTGGGTTCAGTGTCTACATTTTTTTTTACATGAAGGTCCAATTAGGCATTGAAGGTGCTCAGTGCTTTGCAGGAAGAGACTGGTCACTAGAAAAATGTGATTTTTAAAGGTTAGTACACACAGGGTGTGAAATGTTTACCAGGCACTACTAGCAAAAAATTAAACTTGTGTAAGTCAGTATGTAAACCCACTAATGCCCTCCATGTCACTGCCCTGAAAAGTAACCTAAAATACAGACCTAGCATCTAGGAAAAGGGAGGGTCCTGGCAAGAGTTCAGTAGTATTTCTTTGGGAGAATAGGAAATATGCCCCCCAAAATGCAGTTTCGGTCATCCAAAATGACTTGTGAATTTACTGAATGGATTTGGTTTGCATGAAAAGAAAAGCAGCCCAGTTTTATCTTCATAAAGGCAGAGGAGAATGAGGCAGTTGCTATCTTCTTTTAGTTAACGTAGCCCCTGCTCATACCAGCTACCTCCATCATTGTAGGTGACTGAAAGGCTGATGGTGACACTGTTGTGTGGGAAGACCATGAGCAGAGGCTGACCAAAGCAGCATAGTCTAGTGCTTGGAACAATGAAGTGTACATGCGTCTGAAAAATCATACTTGCAATGCTCTGCTCTTAGGACATGGCAAGGGCTAAATTTATAAAAATTCTAATGATAACAAAAATGGTCATATGCCTCCATCTTTTTGTAGCGAGTGCACTGTTAGCTGTCTGTGACTGCAGAGTTGTATTGTGAGCTGTGCTCAGAATACACTGAAGTTACCACTCTTGTGGGTTATTTAACTGTACTGAGACTCAGTCATAGCACATGACTCAATCAAGCCAGTTACCCTATTCGTTGCCTTTAAAGGGATGCTTCTTAAGTGTGTGGTGCTGCCTGCTAACAGGAACAGGAGACTGGATCAGATGGTCTGGTCAGGTATGATAATGCCTGTGTTTCTTTGACTACAAACATGTTTTTTTCATGTGGTGAGCCATGCCGGGATGTGTCCTGGTACAGCTGACCTGATCAATTGGCAGGTGCACACATTACCTCTGGGGCCACAGTCATTCATGATTGGGCCTGCGCTTCTCCTGGGGCTTCAGGGCCCAACCCTGTGGGATCAGATGCAGGGGATTCCCAAGTGTGCACCTGCAAGTGCAGAGCAAGGGAACCACATGGGGCTCCCTTGCTCTGCAGTGTAAAACACATGTCCTAGATCACCTGCCCATAACAGCTGGAGGGTGAGGGCAGCCCCAGCTGCAGGGATGGCTCCATAACTGAGCAGATATCTGCCATGATAAAGAGGCACAAATCATTAACAGGAATTGTAGAGCTCACATTTTGGGGTATGCGGGACATGAAAAGGGGCAAGGGCATCTGTTCACTTGTGTTTTGTACGGCCATAAAAATAATCCTCATGTGAAAAGGGGGGCCATCAGTTTGCAGCCTTTGAAACTTTGCACACCTATTTGACATGATGGTGTCTAATTTGAGATGCCAACTTGCTTTTAGCTACTTAATTATAGGACGCTCTACAAGAAAATATCTGCCTACCAATGAAGGCTACTAAGGTGAAACAAATCCATGAAGCTGGCCAGCAGCTAGTGTAAAATCCTTGTCAGGAGAAAATGAGCAGGAACAAGGTCATGAACAATAGGAAGTGATAGAGGGGAAAGATAGGGGGAGACAATAAGGCTGTTTGGCCAAAGTTTGTCTTCATTGGGAATGGATGGCAATAGACAATTTCACTGGTGCCTACTGAGTTTGTTTACAATATTTTTCTTGCCAAGGCTGAAAACATAGAGCTTGATTTTCACAAGTCAAGATGTAGAAAGTAGGGCATGATGAAATAAGTTGCTGCCTATAGAAGCTGATGCCTCTCTGAATCAGTTAGTCTCAAAGATGCCACCCTGCCCTTACTTCTACTGACTTAAGACTAATACAAATAACCTTCCAGTGTAGTGTAAGATGCTGGCATTAAATTGAACATATTCACCCATAACTATTGAGAATAGCAAACAGAGAACGTGGTTTTTTCCTGTCACTTTTTTGCATCCAGTTGAAATTTAAGGTTTCCACCTGCAGTAGCCAGAAATTTCAAAGTCATCCAATCTTATTCTACTCCCTTGTCCTTATGTATCATTCTATGAGATTACATTGTAAAATAATTCACACTGAAATAGCTTTAAATTATGGAGGTTTGAATGGATGAAAGATTCAGAATTGCCTTCTATGCCTGAAATAATTTCCTGAATAATAGAAAATAATTGCATGTACTCACAGCCCCACCAGCTTTGCACAGATATGCAGAGATGGTCTCCAGATCCATGGCCACAGGTTGAATTGGGAGGAAGAGCTAATCTCCCTGAATCAAAAATAAATAGAGTTTCAAATGGTCATCTTATGCACACAAAGCAGCTTCACTGAAAACAACAGGACTTGCAAACATTTGGCATTTGGTCCAGGGGATAAAAGAGTTACTCTTCATACAGTAGATTCATTTCACAGTCAATACCTCAAAGCAATTGGGTCCAGATGTGCAGGCACATGTGGTTTGTGGCACAGCAACACAAAGTGCACAAGTTTCCTATTAATCAGTGCACAGCACTGCTAATTTGCAGCGCTAGGGCAAAATTTGCTACCAGGACATCCTGGTAGAAAAAATGCCCCCAAAACCCTGGAAAAACGTGGTGCAAACCACATCAAAGTAGCAAGTGCCAGGAGACATGCACAGATGGGCGAGTGCCAGGAGACATGCTGCCTGCTCTCCCATTTCTGCATGCTGTGGAGCTTCCATGCTGAGACACAGTGTGCCCCAGCCAGCCACTCCCACCCTTGGGCTGGCTGCTCACCTGTCTCCAAGTGGCTTGGTGTGTGGGGTCCACTGCAGGGTCCCCACACTAAGGCATGTGGAGTCCACATGCTGAGGCACCCTGTGCCGCAGCTCCATGGCTTGCTGGCATGCAGGGTGCCTCAGTATGGGGGCTCCAGGTGCCTCAGCACAGGGAAGGGCTCTGCAGTATAGCCTCTATGCTAAGGCACATGGAGATAGGGGAGCAACCAGCTGAAGGCTGCCTACTCCCTCATCTTGAGGCACACTGTGCTGCAGCCAAGCAGGGAGGAGCTGCCTGGGGCACAGGGTGCCTTGGCGTGGGGGCTCCTCATCTCCATGTGCTGCTCCCCAGCTGGCTGGGACACAGGGTGCCTCAATGCAGGGGATGGATAACCCCTGATGAGGCACCCTGTGCCCCAACCAGCTCCTCTCCTCCCCGCTCCCTCTCTGCAGCATGTGGAGGACACGGGCAGGGGTGTACACTGCAGCACAAAGTCATGGCACAGATTTGTGCTGCTGCAAAGGCATACCCCTGTTTGTTTGGACCCGGCCAGGGGGCACACAGAATTCTAGAAAAATATGGTGGGAGAAGACCTTAATCTGAGCCCTCCTCAAGGTTGGATGAACCTGTCTAAACAACACAGACAGATATTTCTCTAATCTGCATATAAAAACTGCCAGTGATGGACATTTCACAACTTAGGTAGGTGAGCTGTTCCAGGGCTTACTGATCGTCAGAGTCAAAAAGGTCTTTGTGATACCCAAACTACATCTCCCTTGGTGTTGGTTAAGCCAATTATTTTTATGCTTTCCTGTGGATCTCCAGTTTGTCCTTATCTTTCTAAGACTGTGGTTTTCAAAATGGATTCCTATACTCCTGGTGAAGCCTCATCAGTGCTGAATACAATGAAAGAAGCAATCTGTGAGTTACGCACAGGATTCCTGTTAATGCACTGCAATATTGAGATTCCCTGTTTTGCAACAATATTATATTGGTGGCTCAGCTTGTGATCCATTATAAAATCTAGATCTCTTTCTGTGGCATTGCAGTCACTCCTCATCTGTTGGTATGTTTGCATAGAATGTGCATTGATAAGTTGATAGTGTTTTGTAATTGTATTTACTACTGGTTGTCAGTAGCATAACCAGGGGTGGATGACTGGGGCACTAGCCTTGGGCACCAACTTGTAGGGAGCACTCCCAGGTCCTTTCCGTCTGCAGACCCATATTATTCCCTTAAGTTCAGAGGCATAACTTGTAAGTCTTGTGATCTGGGGTGTCCCCTTTCTCATTCTCTGTACATTCCTCGGGCCCTGAACTGCTGCTATCTCAGCCCTCCCTGCTCACTTTCTGTTGCTTCCTTACTGCAGCTTGCACTTCTCTTACTGCCAAATTGTGCTGGTGCACTGGGTGGTTGCTTCATTTGCAGCAGAGTAGGGTTTGTCCCCAGGGCAGGGAACAGTAGGATGAAGTGGTCACTAGGCAAGGGCCAGATCAATGGTTGCTTTGCTCGTTTGTTAAGTTAGTCAGAACAAGGAACTGGTACCACATTCTCAGGTGGCTTTGAAATTAGGTCTTCATGTTACTAAGGATGACTAGCTTACTGATGGATCCATCATACTTCACAACCTCTTTGCAATTCAAAGTTATCTGGCAGAACCATGTCTTCCAGAAGGAACATGGTGTATATGGAGGAGAGGGGGAGCAGGGGAAGGTGCTGCCTCTTAGCAAGATGACCAGCTCCTCTTTCCAGGAATACCTTCAGCAGCAACACATCAGCAAGAAAGATGTGCTGCAAGGACAAGGAAGAAGTTTTAGGGATTCTCCAGAGAATGGACAGCCAGGAGTCCCTACCACAATGAATTGCCCTCTTAAGCCCCTGGTTGAAACATGTGGGGCCAGACATAGATATGTGTTGGCCAGTAGCTGTCCTCAGAAAGCAAATACAAACATCCCCAACAGTCATGGAGTGCACAATTCCAGAGATGTGCCACCTCTGTGCAAAAAAGGGAAAAGGGGTAGGGGCAAATGAGACCAGGACTTGGGGAAAATGAATAACGACTTCATGCTAGTACATGAATGAGGAATTTCACAGAGCTGTAGAGCAACAGTTGTTGTACTTTTCTTCATCTTATCAGGAAAGTATGATACATTTACAAGGCCCTTTTGTTGCTTTGCTCTGATTTCAGTCCCAACACCTTTGACTGGTAAGTTGACAGGCTCTGTCACTAATAGCATTCCAAGGATGGGACATGAGACTGATGCACAGTGAATGGCCCGTCACGGAAGGCAGAGGAGACAGAAAAAGGAAAAGGTGTTTGCAGCTCTTGCTGAATTCTTTGAGTGGAGAGCTTTGATGGTACACAAGAGTGCAGGGTCCAGACTGAGTACCACCAAGACTGATGTGCTGCATTACTAATGCCAAAGGTATCATGATCTTCCAAACTCACGAGACGACGGAGGCCAACATGTAGGAGTGGACACCTCCCTACCAAAATGTGGCTGTTTGACTTGACCCCCAGCTATCCGCATTTGTGTAAGCATGTTGTCACATTTAAAAATGTTAAGGCAGTCACCTGTATAGATGGAAAAACCATATCCCAAAATGTGTTGACCAGGGTGGATTTGGGGTGGGGGGCAGTGGTATAGTTACATCCTGCTTCGATTCCTGGCCTACACAAAGCTTCAAACCCGCTGCCTGGCAGTGGCAGTAGCACTTCTATTCAGGCAGCAATGAGAGAGTCACTTGACTTCATGGTTCATTATAATCTACCTAATTGCTTTTAAACTATTCATTCCACAGATGTTAACAGCCATCCCTCCTGTTTTTAATGGTCTTAATGTTCCACTAATGAAGCTATCCTTTCTTCTGCAATGCTACTATTAGCTGCTTCTGGGAATTCAGCTCCTATTTCTCAGTCTTGCAGACATTAACTCAGGTGCAGAAACATTAACTTGAGTATGGAAACAACTTTCAGTGAAGTACTGGATGTGTTGTCAAGATGCTCAAGAACACTTAATTTTGATTTATGAATCCAAAAGAGATGTACATTTAATTCTCATGATTATAGGACTTAAAAAACCCACTTTTTGAATATTTTTGCCTAGTTCATTGTGCCTTTTAAAATCAGAATGTATGATATAGGAAAGTAATGCACATTCCATTCATAGATTCATAGATTTAGGGTCGGAAGGGACCTAGTAGATCTTCTAGCCCGACGCCCCGCCAGGGCGGGAGAACAACAAAACCCCAAAACAAAAACGGGACTCACGTGAGTCCAGTCAGGTAGGCATCCAGCCTCTTCTGAAAGACCCCCAGGGTAGGGGCCAGCACCACTTCCCTTGGAAGTTGGTTCCAGCTCCTAGCCGCCCTAACTGTGAAGTAGTTTTTGCGGATATCCAATCTATACCTCCTCTCCATCAACTTGTGCCCATTACTCCTTGTTATGCCAGCGGGCGCTAGGGGAAACAGCGTCTCCCCCAAACCCTTCTGGTCCCCCCTAGTGAGTTTATAGACGGTCACCAGGTCCCCCCTCAGCCTTCTCTTGTGGAGGCTGAATAGGTTCAGGTCCTGCAGTCTCTCACTGTAGGGTCTGCCCTGTCGTCCCCGGATCCTGCAGGTGGCCCTCCTCTGGACCCTCTCCATGTTGTCCACATCCCTCTTGAAATGGGGCGCACAGAACTGGACACAATACTCCAGCTGCAGCCTGACCAGCGTCGCATAGAGGGGGAGGATCACCTCCTTGGCTGTACTCGAGATGCACCTGTGGATGCACGATAAGGTCCGGTTAGCCCTGCCAACCATGACCTCGCATTGTCGGCCCATGTTCATCTTGGAGTCAATAATTAGTTGTATTTGGTTTTGCTTCCATCTCAAACTGTATAATATAGCCCATGGCTGTTAGCATATTAGTAAAGCTTCTAGTTTCTTTTTACCTGGGGGAAAACATGTTGTGTTATATGTAATAATGCCCTATCTCATATGCACCCATCTTTCCAAAATCCTAAATATGCCCATGCATGTTGATCCCTACTTGCCAAGGACAACCTCCCACTTCTTCAGTAAGTGCTTTAGACAAGTAACGGAAAGTTCATTTAAGAATTTAAAGTGTCTAATAAAAGATTTGTTTCTGCATAACAATAAACCTGAATCCTGAAATTTCAAACCTGAATACTTGCCTTTCCGCTTCCTCATGACCCCCTTCCTGGCTGTGTTTTAGAGTCCCAGGAGGTCCCAGAGCATGGCTCTGGCTGGCCAGGCTCCAGTTTCAGGTTGTGTGAAATCTAGGCAATGTCCACAAAATCCATAAAATCCATGGGGAAAAAAAGTTATGGAAAAGAAAATTCTGGCTCCTCAGAGGGAGGAGCAGGAAAGTTGTGGAGAGAAGGCTGCCTGCTCAAAGGTCTGTGGACAAGCTGACTGCCACCCCTGCCCCTCACTGCTGACTGGCTGTGAGGGCTGCCTGTCTTGTGGCCCTACTCCTCTCCGCCAACTGCAGTGGGGGGCAGGGCTGCATGATGGACGGCCCTTGCAGCTAATCAGGGGTCTGCCACATGACAGGTAGACCCCACAGCCAATCAGTGGTGAGGGGCGGGGCCACAGGGGCCCTTTGGCTGGTGCAGGGGACTGTTGAAGTGCTGGCAGTGGCAGAAGCAGATTTCTGCCATGAGCAGCAAATCTACTATGAAGTCCCTGCATGTGTAGACTCCTGCCTGGGAGTATTTACTCGCAAGTAGTTTACTCATGAGTAAACTGCTCCTGAATCAAATGCACATGTAGACACACCCATAGAACAGAGAAAATTAGGTTTGGAAGTGACCTCAGGAGGTCATATGGACCAGCTCCCTGGTCAAAGCAGGGCCATCCCTAACTAGATCATTCCAGCCAGGACTTAGTCAAGCCAGGCCTTAAACCAAGATGTATAGTCTGTTATTATGCAGCAGTCCTATACCTGCAAAAAGAAGCCTGATCTCAGCAATCCACCACAGGAGAAAAAAAAAGAAATCAACTGTCACAAAAGCTTCCTGCACACTGTGCCAACAACACAAGAAGAGTCAGGAAAATGCTACTCAGAACAACTACATCCTTCACCTGTCACAACACCTCCTATCCCACTCTGAAATACTACTCTGGAATAGCTGTACTTTCCAAAGGCATAAAATTGTGCCAGAATAAACAACCTGACAGGATTCTAATATACAAGAAACTGGAAAAAAATTTCTACTGACTTCATCTGAAGAAATACTTCCACAATCAGTTTCCAAAAGTATTTTTGAAGGAATAATTCTCTGTACCAGTTCTGCTTTCATTATATCCTTTTTGAGATGTGGAGACCAGAACTGCACACAGTATTCAAGATATGAGAGCACCATGGATTTATACAGTGGCATGATGATATTTTCCATTTTGTTTTCAATTTCCTTCTTAATGATGGCTAATTTTTATTGGCTTTTTGGTGACTGTTGCGCATTGAAACAATATTTTTAGAGAACTAGCTACAATGACTCCAAGGTCTCTTTTGGGAGTCATTGCAGTTAGTTCAGAGCCCAGAATTGTGTATGAATTGTTGAGGTTATTTTTCCATGTGAACATTACCTTGCAATAGTCAACACTGAACATTGTCTTTCAACGTCTTTTCCTTCCCTGGTATTTACCCTTATGCTACTTTTATAGAAAAACTATTCTTTCTCAGTAGTTTGCTGAACTAATTCAGTCTTATCTCTTCTGATCACTTAAGTCACCTTTACACTTTTTCTAGTTTGAACATGAGTGACAAGAATTGTACACAGTGTTTGAGATGAGGTCTCATCAATGCTTTGTACAATGGCACTAATACTCTTCTACTTTTTCTGACTTGGCTACACCTCACCTGATACATCTAGAATTACATTTTTCTTTTTCTAATACCACATTATGCTGGTAGAGCACAGTGATCCTGTGATCAACCCAAACCCTTAAACCTTTTTCTTCCTTAATCTTTTTCAACTAATGGTTTGCCGGTTGTTGTGGAAAATTCTGGAAGTGCGTAACCTTACATATTGTACTGTTGAATTTCATTCCATTTCTATCATTCCAGTCCTTAAGTTCATCCGTTTCTTTCTGTTTAATGTTCCTATAATGATTTACCTGTACTAATGTTCCTCTGTACACAGGCTGTATGAAGATGAACGTTGTACATAAGGCACACAAAGTAAATCAACACTGGTAAGGTATGAATGCCATGTACAGTTCTGGCAATACATATCAAGAGATGTGGACAAATGAGAGAGAGTCCAAAAGAGAATTATCAACATGATCAGAAGTATATTAAACTTACCCTCAAAGGAAAGACTGAAATAAATGTATTTGTATCATTCAGAGAAGACCAAAGGAATATATAACAATCCTGTAAAACCGTTGTTGCAAATAGGAAAGCAATAACTTGTTTTCCATGTCTACTGGAGAAAGGACATGAAATAATATGGCGAAGCTGTAGCAAGGGAGATTTATGAGCTACATTACCATGGAAAGTTATTGCATCTCTGTTCCTGCAGGTTTTTAAGAACAGATTAGACAGATATCTGTTCAGGAACATTTTAGGTGTACTTGATCCTGCCTTCTGGCAGGAGGATTGACTTCTAGTCCTATTTTTGTATGATTCTATTCTGTCATCAGAAGATTTCATTAACAATGCCCCTGTTCTTCATTCTGAGTTTGAAAATATTAAAAAGTGATTCTTGAGGAACTCCACTAGCCTGATACTTCCCACTTCAGTATTTGTCTCTGACCTCAAGAAGCAAGGTGTTTGCTAGTTCCTACCTCACCAAGGACTAATCCCCCCAAATCTTCCTACTATTGATGCCTTCTTTATGCTGACTTCACTAGTCAGTAGTGTGGGGTTTTCAAATAGTCTAGTTTTAAGTGGAAGCTCTTACTTTAACTGCAGAACAGCTACAGTACAATAAGCCTTTATAAAGTCCTTATCATTATCATAAGTCTCCACTTAGTTTTGGTGAGACCTTCTGAAGTTACAGGCAAATTTATTTTCACAATTGCTGACTGACCTCTTTACTGAGGGATACATTAAACCCACAAGAATGATAATTATAGAAAATAATAACATATTGGGAAATGAGACCTTAGGAGCTACACCCTATAGGAAGACACCAACAAGTTCTCATGAAAATATTTTTGTCAATATTTTCAATTAAAAAAAAATTGACAAACATGTAAGCAATTAAAAATAGCAAGAGCTGAAATGTATTTTAAAAAGCATGCAACAATATTCATATTTTTTTTAAAAGTTCATCTGAAGCCACCAATAAATCTCATGAGCTACTAAAAAAACCCATCCCAAAACAGCTCAGCCCCTTCTTCCCTTATCCATCACCTTATTACTTATTAGTTTAAGGTCAGATTTGTAAAGCACGGTATAATATTGAATCAATAGGAGATGATTTTTCAAACAGTGAATTAAAACATTACCCAGTTAATTCATGGCATCTATTTTGCTCTCTCAGGATTTTTAAAAACAGTATTTGGCTGCTGATTAACTGTAGCACTATCCTTACATATGAGAAAAGCAACCTCAAGTCCCGTATCTATTGCTCAATACTGCAAGGACATCACATTTGTTCCAAAAGTTTCAAGCAAGCAAATTAACTCTGGGAGGGGAGAACTCAGAATAGATTATACAGAGTTGAGTAAGTAAGAACCTATGCAAGTAGATGATTGATTTATAAAATAATCTGTTATTACAGCAATTGAAGGAGATAGTTTGTACCTGTATGGTACTGCCAACCATGCTGCAAAGGCAAACCCCACAGGATGTTGCCCACATTGTTTGATCCAAATGCAGTGAAATATTTGCTTGAGTGGTTCAGCATGATCTTGTACATTCCCAGTCTCTCTTCATAGTTCCAGGCATCAATGATGATTTTGTTGTCTTTCATTGAATAATCCTTAATATTTCCAGGAGCAAGGTGCCAGAGTGGGGGAAAGGCATCCTTATGAGTTAGAGATACTACAGCTGCTGGCTGAAGAGCAATGGCAGCCAGCAGCACAAAGAGAGGAGCACGCATATCCAGGATCACACACATCAGGTAGGTGACACGAGTGTTTACAGCTTGCCAATGAGGCACCAGCTTTTACTGCTAAACTCAAAGGGTGGGCAGAGGTGATGACTCCTGGTACCTATGCAAATCAGGCAGCAAAAGACCTCCTTCTTTCTTCCCTGCAAGACTGACGTGGCTTTGCCAGATTAGTCAACTAAAAGTAGTGCTTAGTCCTTTGCCATTGCAGGGTTGGCTTTGGGGAGGGGAGATGAGAACTTGGGGGGAATGGGGAACTGAGCAATCTTAAAAGTATTAGCAGGCTTCAGTGGCTCAGATGTAATCAGTGAAAACAAAGGAGATAAACTAATTTAAATAAAACTACTGCC